GAATCAACATTAAAAAACACCTTGCCGATTTGAAGGCGCTCAAATGGACAAGTGGGATTCACAGCTGTTTTGTCGCAACATAACCTCATTCCTTCATGTTTGTTATCGTGCCGGCTCGTAACTTTAAATCGTCTCCCGTCAAACCAGAGACACTTCTCTGGTCAAACCGCCACGTCGCGGAAATTCGTACTACCTACGAGGCCACATTACGAGGCCAAACCAAGGAGTTTAGGACTAATGGAGCCTCCTCTCTCTCTTCGCGGCGCCACGAGCAGTACGCCGCGGTGGGGATCAAATATGGCCGTCGAGTGTGGGCTAAATCTCGAACTGTGGCGTTTCTTTTTATAGAATCTTATCGGGCTGTGCCGCGTTGTGGGGGTGGGCGGGGTGGGGGAATGCATGCAAGGAAAAGGGGATGGGGCAGGGATGAAAGAGGAGGGGCGGGCCTTGGGAAGGGACGAAGGAGGATGGGAAAAATTAAATAAAAGAGAGAAAGAGAGAGAGAGAAAGAAAAAGAGAGTGAGAGAGACAGACAGACAGACAGACAGACAGACAGACAGACAGACAGACAGACAGACAGACAGACAGACAGACAGACAGACAGACAGACAGACAGACAGACAGACAGACAGACAGAGAGAGAGACAGACAGAGAGAGAGAGAGAAGATTATATATATATATATATATATATATATATATATATATATATATATATAGAGAGAGAGAGAGAGAGAGAGAGAGAGAGAGAGAGAGAGAGAGAGATTGTGATCAACTGACGGGCTGACGGATAATGACAGGGAGAAAAAAAATTATGTGTGTGATACGGACTGTTCAATTCTTTCAGAGTTTTATGTTATAATCTAGTTTAAAAATAAAAAAAGATGTGTAAAATAAGAAGTAAACTAGTCCAAGTAACATAAAATTATCAAACATACCAAATTATAAAGATAATCTTTCAAGATGCTAAAATATTTAAGTATTAGAAATGGATAAAAATATACTTTAAAACTGAATTTAAGATATTATGATTGCATGATTCTAGGCGTGTGGCATAACTAACTTTATGTGTAAGGAATAACGAACACAACAGAGGGTCGATGCCAGCTTTATCTGATTGCTAACAGTATGTCTTAGTCTATAAATAATAATATTATTGATTACAATAATTTTGTTTCCTGGTTTTCACAAAGCGGAGCGCACAATGATTTCAAATATTTAAAAAAAAGAGATAACAGCACCTTTGGAGGTGTGATCGCATGCATGAGCGTGGATGACCTTTGAAGGTTTTTTTTGTTGTTCAGTAAAGTATGATATGGAGAGCAGTGTTTTTAATCCCTTATTACACTCCGGGGGGGGGGGGGGGGGGGGGGGGGATAATTGATCTTAGTGATGACTCTTCTGTATTAAAATTTGTTGTTGCTTTGTTTGGTTTATTTTTTAACAGCAGAATCTTAACTGAACCGGAATGATTGATTGTGGGATCTTAGGTGAAGACTACAACAATAGAATTAAACCGAGTATAGTTCTGTCTAACAAGACTCAAACTCTTATCCACCCCACCCTACCCTCTCCCTTCATCTGATATGGTTTGGTGTTTCTTTAACATAGAAAATATTAATCATTATTGTTGTTGAGTAGGCCTATTGATTTCCTGTTCTAATGGAGCCTCTACATTTAGACAACAGTAGCATCTAATTTGCACACACAATGGAGAGCAATATAAATGTATAATATGTATATACATACACACAAAATAATTATATATATATATATATATATTTATTTATAAGAATAAGAATACTTTAAAAAAAATTGAGTACCTCGGTCTTTCTGCTGGGGTGTTGTATCCCTTTCAGCCTGGGTTGGCCTTGGCAGGTAGCGCCGGAGCCAGCCTCTTATGAATGTTCATGATCTAAATTGTGTTGCTGGGGGTAAAAACACTTTCATTCAAATTTTTTAAAAGGAAAACAACTTAACTGTGAACACTTCGGTCCACTGCAGCATCACATCGGTTCTTACACTTAAATACAACACAGATGCAAGGCATTTTTACTAATTGACTTGCCTAATCTCAAGGACCTCGGAAGAAAACCTTCTTTCTTATCTAGATTTCAGTGCGTAAGTCGGGCATTCGCTCAGCGCAGGTAGACCACAGTTCCGCCGCGAGAGAGGGCTCCTATCAGGCGTGCGGTGCCGGCCACAGAGCATCCTCCATTACTTTTAATCTCCTTGCCCAAACCCCCTCCCCGACACGCACACTAGTGATGGGCAGGTATCGATACCAGGTACTCGATACTTAGATACCTACAGGCAATGATAGTACCAA